GCTTCTCTCAAAGAACCTGTCAAGGCACAGCCTCTATTTACCCACCTCCGTCCTGAAAGCCTGCTGCACCAGCTTGTACACAGATCATTTCAGACGTGCTGGGAAAACATGTTGACAAAAGAAGTCATTCTGTTGCGAAGTGCAAAGCCAAGCCTCCTGTGCACATGGTAATTACCAATCAATTTCACATAAATAGCAAAACTTAGTCCCATTATGTTAATTTGCCTCAAAATTGAAGGAATTATTTAAACGTGGAAAGAGGTGGGTGAAAAGAAGCACAGTGCTTGCCAAGTTTTTACTGCCAAGTGGGGAGAAGACAATTTCAGAAGGAGAAGCAAAGGAATATAGGAAAATCACACATTGATACACCTATTTACATGCTTACATGAAGGTCAGTTTCACCGGAAATAATGAGACCTACATCTATGTAAATATTTATTTATTTTATGAGCCATGGTGGCACAGTAGTCAGAATGTAGTACGGCAGGCTACTTCTGCTGATTGCCAGCTGACTGCAAGGTTGAATGGCAGATCGAATCTCACCAGGCTCGAGGTTGACTCAGCCTTCCATCCTTCCGAGGTGGGTAAAATGAGGACCCAGATAGTTGGGGGCAATATGCTGACTCTGTAAACCACTTAGAGAGGGCTGTAAAGGACTGTGAAGTGGTATATAAGTCTAATTGCTATTGCTAAGTACTATTGCTATCCGAGACCAAACTCAAATTCTTCCCTGTAAAGCCTCTTGATCTGAAAAAGATACTTAAATACTTAAGTGCACTTATGCGGCTATAAAGTTTGATTGAGGTTTACTCCCATAATTTGCTTCCAAAGGATCTGTTGCAGAATTCTTTTACCTCCTTATGTCTGTGGAGATTCTCAATCAACTAGGTCATAGCTGTCTCAAAGGTGCTTTTTTAAAAGGCAACCAGTTTTGGAAGGATAAGAGGGGGCGGGAAGGTTGGAAGGATGAATTTCTTTGCAGTCATCTGGTCTTACCACTCTTCCTGAGAGCTCTTAAGGCCACTTGGGGGTTTATCTGTTACCTCAGGGTCACCTGAAGTTACCTGAAGAAGGTTACCTGAAGAAGTAATATATCTAAAACTAAGGGTCACTCCTTAGTTTTAGATGTGTTACTTCTTCCTCATTTTACACTCCATTCCCTACACTGCAGAACATGATTCCAAGCAAAGCATATAATCACAGCATGTTCCTCCTGTACATTTTAATACAGTATCTAAGGATACTTCATTTAACAATTCTTACCAATAGACTGAATATTTATTACATTAACCAACATTCTTATCTTGAAGTTACACACTACTCTAAATACAAGGAATACAATATATAGATGTATAGAAATTAAGAAGTAGGCAAATTGTTACATTAATGTGTCATGTAATAAATTAACCTGAATGCGAGTGGGGAAAAGGCATAAGCAAATAAGCTTCTGCCTCCTCCCTTCAGAAAATAGTTTGAAAAGTAAGTAATCTGACACCATCTATACATTTTACCTTTTGCCATTTACTGATTTCTATGGCATTTATCTCTGAATGCTTTTTCAACATTACATAAGTCTCAGAATGAAGTTAAAAAGCAGTATCTGTCAGATCAGGACACTAAGATTTATAATTAGCTAAAAAATGAGACTGAGAGATGCTGCTGAACAGCATCCAGACATGGCTACCTAATCTCTTACGATTTTTATAACTAAGTTAGCCAGGAAGCAAATTCAATTGCTGTGGAAATAAAATTAAATTTGATGTACATTATTGCCATGCTCCACTAATTTCCCTGTATCACATGAAATATCCCTCTTTTGATAAATATGAGCCTTCAATGTTTCCAAAGGCTATAACTCTTGCTTCCAGCCAAATGACCCAGAAGGAGCCAGATATGGGAGTGAGTTACTGAGGGTCAAATTTTACCGAGGGAATTCTGTCCTGAGTCTTTTTTGCGTTCGCAATGCAATTCCTGCAACATTATGATGGAACACATATATTCACCTTCATTCTGAATGTTGTGTTGAAATTCATGTATTTTGAAGTAGAACTCTTAAATCAATTTCAATGTATACTAGATGTGGGTGACCCCTAGGTTGGTAGCAAAAAACACAGCCTGCAGAAACACTCTGAATTTCATCTGCTTTTCCAGGCAATCAAAAATTAGGTTTGTGCTGATAGCAGTGGAAAACTAATCATCTGCCATAATTGTCGAGGCTAAGGTTGATGTTTCCCAGCAACTCTGCTCAGCATCTCTGATTTCTACTAATAAACACACTAGTGAGTGGGCGAGTGTTTGAGTTTACATAAAATATAGGTGTGGCATACAGGTAGTCCTCATCTTACAACGATTTGTTTAGCAACCATTCAAAGTTACAATGTTGCTGCAAAAATTAACTTATGATTGGTTTTCACACTTACGAAGATCACAGTGGTCCTGTGATTGCAATTCAGGTACTTGGCAACAGGAATGTATTTACAAATGGTGGCAGCATCTTGTAGATGCACATAATTGCACTTAATTGCATTTGCAACCTTCTTAGTCAGCTTCCAACATGTCTATGAGGAAAGGCGGCCATATGATTCCCTTATTACCATGGCAAAAGAAAATCAGAAAAGGCACAACTCACTTAACAATATCACTCAGTGATAGAAGTTCGGATTCCAATTGTGGTCCTAAGTTAATAGCACATGCGTGTATGTGTATCCATCAACCTCCAATTCAAGAATCAATCTACAATGTCCATCATTCTGTATATGGAAAGTAGACAACCTTCTCCTAATTCAGAAGCTTCTATTATGAAGCTATCAAACAAGCTATCAAACAAATGAAAAATGTAACTATTAGCTATATTTTTTTTAAACCAAATGTAACAGTCTCTGTCTGTTATGTGCTATTCAAGAAGCCCTTAATCACTTCTAAAAGCTTTCACAAAAGAATGTGGAGCAATTGTGTCATATATGTTTCAGAAAATCCTTGATGTTAACCAAGAAAAAAAATACCCAAAACACTGAATAATTATTCTTCAGCTATTTCTACCAAAGCAAAGGCTGGAAACATAGTATCGGAACCAATATACAGGTCTGATTTTAAATAGAAATATTCATACCGATTGCATGTATCACTGTATATAATGCTACAGTATATTTTAACTATGAATTACTGAATAAGTCATAATGGCTTGGTTTAATAGGGGGTTCCAGGCCAAATCAATCATAGTAGGACTTAGTTCAGGGGTAGATTTCTTCAAGGGCTGAATCAGCATTGTAGTTCTCCTCCGTGGGCTGGCAGAAGGGGGGGGGTGCGGAATGGGAGGGAGATGGGATGGATGTCTCCTGCAGCACAAAAAGGGGGCCTCTGCAAGGCCTCTGTGAGGCCCGTTTTTGGCTGGCAAAGTGCTGAAGAAGGCCATGGAGGGCAAAAACAGACCGCTCAGGGGCTGCACGTGGCCCATTTTGGCCAGCAGAGGCACTACAGGCCAGCCCTTTGATATTTCCAGGCCAACCCTGTGGGCTGGATTTAACCACCCGGCAGGCCACATCCAGCCCACGGGCTACATTCGACCCACGGGCGGCATCCAGCCCACAGGTTTGTGTTTGACACCCCTGGCTTAGTTGTATATGATCTAAGTAAATATATTTTAATTGTTCTATACCAATCTGCCTGAATATCATTATGATATGTGACATAACCAATAGTAATAGTTGGTTGTTTACAATCAATAAATTTTACCAAGTTAATTTGAATTTTGAATTTGAATTTAATAAAATTTATATGCCGCCCAATCCCTTAGGACTCTGCATAACTGGCTCTGTACCTTCAGAGGCACTGAAGAACAACTCTCTTTACCTTAAAAGTGTTTGCCAAAAGAGGATTTTGGAAGACTTGGCCATGCTCTGGTGCTTCGCCATTGATCAAGAGGTCCTTTCCATGTTGATTTCCAGGTGACTGAAGAACATGAGCATCTTGCTTCCACTGGTAAGAAGTAATCTCAGACACTGGAAAGCCCTTCTCAGCCATTTCTATTGCTGGTTGCAAAATCTGCCCCATGGAAAGCTGAATCAAGGAATACTGCAGTGTTATCAATCAACATGCATACACCAGCTATAAAGATTTGCAGAATACACTGAGTCACATAAGCTGAAGTTAAAACTAATCAAGCTTAGCGTGCCATGTGCATGCAGTCACCTATATTTTAGCTGACCTGGTTAAGTATGTTATATGAACTACAATAAAAAGTGTAAAAGTAAAGAAGAACTGTAAATCAACATAAAAGATTAAACTGGGCTTTCCAAACAGTTGGAAAATTAATACAATGGAATAGAATATTAAAACTCATTCTTTTTCTGGAAGGTTTGCCCAAATTATCCTTTTCTGAATCATAAATTAATATGTTATTTCATGGCAATAAACATTATCAAGATCTGTTTCAAAGGGCATTACTTCATTCCCTCCTATGGAATCAGGTACATGAAATCTAAGATTTTATTTCATATATATGAATTCTAATCTAACAATGGGCAGAATATAATCTGAGTTTGAAAACATAAAAGAAATTAGTAAAATCTCAGCAGTTGATACAAGAAACTGAGCAATAGTTTTAAAATGGGAAGAAGAGAGTAAAATGGCCTGTTCTTTTGCCTGCCCTTCCCCATAACTTAGGTAAGCGGAAGAAACTCTGTGCAATTAAAGGAAAAGCACATTCAGGTACTTTAAAAAAAAAGCAAACATATTCATGAAAGAACAAAAATAAAACTATACTACAAATACCGTGTTT